TGCATCGGGAAGCGGTCCGACTTGGGGTTGTGGCGCACAAAGTTGTTGTAGCCCACGAGCTTCATCTTCTTGTTTTCGGCCGACATGCTGAGCTGGTGGAGAATTGAGTTGTGAGCTTCTGCCTCGTGGTCGCTGCAAGGTAGAGCGATCAGTAATCACGGGCCGCCGGGCCGAGCGTCCCATCCGAGCTGCAGTATAAACGAGGTCGCCTTTTTAAAGGGCAAACCTCTGAAACATGATATTGAAGTATCAAAGATAGAGGTTTCTGTGCGGATTTGTAGTCTCTCAGGTGACCTTGTTTACAAACTGGGGCGCGCAGCGACCGCATTTGCAATCGGGACTTTTTGTCCTACCGGAATGACAGAATCCGTGTTCATTTCGGACTTTGTGCAGTGCCGGCCGTACAATTCGGACCGAAATTCGGCTTTGGCGCCGCTGGCGTCACCGATGCAGGCAACTTCAAGCACGCTGTCAGGTGCGCCCGTGGAAATCTCCTGCAAGTGTGGGACCGACGTCGATTTTTTGCTGCGTAATCTGCGACCTTGCATCGCGGCCGGCTACGAGCTCATATCTCGACCAACCAGCTCGACACGCTCTCAAGTCGAGGGTGCGAGAGATCGCGCAGGCACTGACCAAAGATTGGCTGCTTGAACGAGGAGCACAATGATCCTGTTGCGTCTTTTGCATCTAGATATGTCGTCGAAGATGCAGCTATTAGGTGCATCCATCATGGCGAATGCATGGGTGCTTGCTTCACTCTGGGTGCGCTCTTTGGGTGAACCAGTAGAACTTGGTAGTCTATCGTCTTCTAGCCGAGACGCCTTCTGGTACCGGTGCACAGCCTCCACGGCACACAGCAAAGCATGCGAGAGCATGGAGTAGATTTGGCGCGTGGGGGCACTTCAACGACGCGTCTGCCTGTCTCGAAGGTCAGTACAGCGTTGGGTCAACGGCGTTGGCTGCCAAGGCACGGAAAAAAGGTGTTGCCTCGAGCGTGTACCGCCCTTGGTAGCCGTTGCTTCACAGTTGGTTGCATCGAACAAGAGCGTTCAGGTCCACTCGATGTTGGGCGCCATTTTGGCGGTTGCGGGTTAAAGATAGCCAACGGCAACCAAGCGCTGACCACGATGGCTGCTCAGATTGAAATCATCTACCATGTCGACAAGCCCCAAGAAAGCAAGCCCCAAGAAGGCGTCGAGTCCGACCAAGCGCGCGGCGTCTCCGAAAAAGCCGGCCGAGAGTCCATCCAAGAAGAAGATGAAGCTCGTCGGCTACAACAACTTTGTGCGTCACAACCCCAAGTCGGACAAGTTTGACGCACGCAAGTTCCACCACATTGAGTTCTACTGCCAGGACGCGACCAACGTCTCCAAGCGCTTTGGCTGGGGCGCCGGCCTCAAGTGCGTCGCCAAGTCGGACCAGTCGACCGGCAACCACAGCTACGCCAGTTATGTCATGCAAACCGGCGAGCTCCAGCTCGTCATCACAGCGCCCTACTCGCGCGCCAACAAGAAGGCCGACCAAGTGCCGCCGCACCCGGGCTACGATATCAACCACGCGCACGAGTTCAACAACAAGCACGGCCTTGCGGTGCGTGCGATGGCCGTCACCGTCGGCGATGCCAAGAATGCATACGAGGTACGCTAACTGCATCGTGGTGCCGTCAACGCACTGACCCTGTCGCGTAGGTGTCGGTCAAGAACGGCGCCGTCGGTGTCTGCGAGCCCAAGACGCTCAAGGACGCCAAGACAGGCACGTCGCTCGTGATTGCCGAAGTGAAATTCTATGGCGACGTCGTCCTCCGCTACGTGAGTGGCGACTACAAGGGCCGCTTTTTCCCGGGCTACGAAGATGTCGAGGGTCCGGACGTCAGCATTGGTATCGAGCGCCTCGACCACGCCGTTGGCAATGTCCCCAAGCTCATTGACGCCGTCCAGTACGTCTGCGACTTTACCGGTTGGCACGAGTTTGCCGAGTTTACGACCGATGACGTCGGTACCGTCGACAGCGGCCTCAACTCGATGGTCCTCGCCAACAACTCGGAAATGATCCTCCTCCCGATGAACGAGCCGACCTTTGGCACGAAGCGCAAGAGCCAGATCCAGACCTTCCTCGAGCAAAACGAAGGCGCGGGCCTCCAGCACATGGCGCTCAAGACCAACGACATCTTCCACACGCTCGCCGAGATGCGCAAGCGCACGCACCTCGGCGGCTTTGACTTTATGCCCAAGCCGTCGGACGCGTACTACAAGAACCTCCCGACCAAGATTGGTGATACGTTTACGGCCGATCAGTACAAAAAGATCGAGCAACTCGGCCTCCTCGTCGACAAGGACGACCAGGGCATCCTTCTCCAAATCTTCACCAAGCCGCTCGGCGACCGCCCGACGTGCTTTTTCGAGATCATTGAGCGCGTCGGCTGCATGGAGGAGCTGAACGGCCGCTTGGAGCAGGCTGCCGGCTGCGGCGGCTTTGGCAAGGGCAACTTCTCGGAGCTTTTCAAGTCGATCGAGGACTACGAGCGCACGCTCGACGTCTAAATCGCTCGCCAAAAAGGAACACAAAACACAAAAACTCTGCACCTTTACTCAAGACCCACGATTTCATTCGATGGGACGTATAACAAATGATAATAACCTTCATTATACCCACGAAGTGCCATCGATGCGACTAAGTGCACCGATACATTGGCATCGTCAAATCAATTCTTCTTGTGAGCCGCGTAAAAAATCTAGTACCTAGCTCTGTCTGAGCCCAGGGACCAGCCATTGGAATCAGAAGCCCGCGTAAGAAGATGATCGTTAGATGAACGACCACATCAGCACAGAATACGTGATGGACCAATCCCCGATCAGTGCTGCGACGTGAGTGACCGTTCGAGAGCTGGATAACCGTCATGATGAAAAGCAACAGGATATACACCCGACTATGGAAGGACAAGCCATTCTGCGTCAAATTATTACGTTCATGCTCGCGATACCCGACTCTGAACGCGCCAAGGAGACTCCGTAGTAGGTAGCGCGATCTTTGCGCTCTTTCGAACGTGGCACCTCGATATGGGTGGCAGTGAAACTACGCTGGGTTCTCCGCCGCGAACTATCAGATGACAGCTCCTCCGAGTATCTGTGCTTGGTGCAACACATGTCTTTGGCGGCCCAACGACGCGTCGCACCAAGAGAATACACATTTTATTCATTTGCGTCGCACCCTCCTCGAGTCGACGTCGGTTGATTCGACTCCAAGAGTCATCGTGGCTGGTCATTTCGCCTTCGTTCCCCTATTCCCCATCGCGAGATTCGAATGCGAACGGTGTGTTCACCGACCGGTTCTCTTCGTACGAGCTGAGTTGGTATGACACACTCGTGTCTCTTGCGCGCCGTGCGCTCCGCTCCTCCGTTCGTCAATGCCTAAATATACGCGGTTGTTGAGCTATTCTGGGGCGCATTTTCGAAACCCTGACCATTGCCTTGAGTACCTCGCATGGGCTGCCTCCAGTCCAAGGTCGAGACGGCGCCGACGACGCCGGTTCGCGAGACGTACGAAGACGTCGAGTTGACTGCATCGCAGAAGCGGCACAGCATCGTCAAGCCCGTCGAGTCGTGGATCATGAATCAGTCCGAGTACGTCGCCAAGTCCAACATTGACAAGCGCATCATCGAGATCCTTCAAGGCCGCAAGAAGACCATGGTCGACAACAACACGTTCAACAAGTGCACCAACTTTGAGCGCGTCGCCCTGCAGTTTGGCAACGTCGAGATCGCGTTCATGTCGATCCGCGAAATGTACGAGCGCCACTGCGACGTACGTGATGACGACAATGTGTCGACATTTGTACAATATTTATGTGGGCATAGGCCAAGGCCATGACGCTCGACAACTTTTGCAGCGCGCTCACGTCGTTTGGCGTCACAACTGACGAGAACGCGGTGAAGGACATCTTCAACGAGTCCGACATCATCCGCGACAATGCGCTCAACTTTAACGAGTTCGCCGTCTCGCTCGCGATCTGCTACCTTCTCGACATCATCCCCAACCTCTTCCACGCGCGCGGTGGCGGCGACGAAGACGATGCACCCGGCGCCGACTACAAGGAGATCGAGCGCGACGACGCACTCAAGATTTCCAAGGCGTTCGAGACGGTCGTGAACGCGTATCTGATGTTTGACCAGGACGCTAGTGGCATCATCAAGTGGGGCGAAATGAAAGAGGTAGTGGTGCCCGTACGAGCTAGGTTGAGATCACGGGCGTAGATTCTCAACAAGCCCGAGAGCTCGAAACTCAAGTCCAACGCAGCCCACGCAAAGTTCTTCAACGTCGAGCGATGGAAGGAGCTCGACTGGAACAAGGACGGGAGCATCAACTTTCAAGAGTTCTTTCTCGCGTTTCAAAAGTGGGTCGGGATCGACGAAGACGAGGGATAGACCGCTGCGTATTTATAAAAAAACTCGTGGAACTGGTACAGTAGGTAATCTATGGTTTGGGGTCATTTTCGAATCTCACTGCAGATTGCCATTTTCTAGTCGGTGATCTCGACTCGAACCTACTGGCCGAACCGAGGGTTGTCAGTCGTCAACGAGACTCACTGCAGTCGAAGTGCGTTCGACAGAGACGTGCATCGCTATTCTTGGGTATCCACATGGGTCGAGATGCCATCGCGCTGGGTTGATATACTGATACAATCATCAATACAGGGGAAGGTGTGGCGTCGTAAATGACACTAAAGCTCAAACTACATTGGTTGATTCATTCAATCAGAGGACGGGTGCATTCGACGAGATTATGCACGAGTTCGCACTCAACATCGTTTTGCCCTTGTCGACTTGTATATTGTTGCGCGCTCGCCCAGCTGCAGCAGTGGCGCGAGCTGTGGCGGCAGCAGCGAACAGTGGAACGCGTGACCGTCCAAGCTGATGAGTAAGCGCTGTGTGAGGCAGCATCGCGTGGCCAGTACGAGCCCAACTTGTGATACCACGAGCCCACGATCGATAGATAGTTCGTTAGATAGATAAATAGATAGATAGATATTGTGTTTGTTCGCGTTCATCAACACAGCTGTGCGAGGTGTCGTGATCTCGATGCGGATAGGTTTTGGTCAGTTGACCAGACGACCGTCAAGGCAAGGGAGTAATTCCACGTCGTCTAGGACATATCGTTTGACGGCAACCAACATCTAGCGTTAATGTGGTCAGTCGCGCTCTCTCTCAACGACTCGTCCGAGTGCTCCTTGCGCCCAAACTAGCACACCGAACTAACAATAAGCATTTTTGAGGTGCAATCAGTTTTGGAGCCTATCTTTAGCGTGTCGTGGCAGGTGGAAAAGGCTTCGAAACTGCAGCTGCCGACGCATGCTCGCGCCCGACCGGCTCGCGGGGCGCAGCGCCATTGACGCCAAAGGTTCCTTTTGCTACTCCTCGTGACAAGCGCACACAGGATCGCTCTAGATGTGGTCCGCGTCGCGCTCGAACCCAGAGGTATCATTGGCTTTATCCAGATCCCGTCGCTCGCGTCGCATGCAATGACGCTGGCCGAGGCGCGCACGATCATTGCTGCCACGATCGACCACGTGCCCGACGACGTCCAGTTCCTCTATGGCGAGATGGGGCTACCAATTGGCAGGACGCAAGAGCCATACCACCACGTCGTCGACCACTACCCGTGTATAAAGCTCCGTCCTGCTCCGTCGATCGCCAAGAAACTCAAGCCCACGACATGTACGACGCTACGTTCGCACCTTGTCTAACCCCCTGTAGACCAAATCTCGGTCTTAAACGGACAGACCCAAGGGCTCTTTGCGTCGTGGATCCCAAGTACGTATACGTTCCAGCAGCTGCGGCGGGACGCGGCGCGCTACTGGGATATCCCACATGACGCCGCGACGCTTGTCGATCCGGACGGCTGCGCGTGGCCGGACGAAGCCTGCATTGCGTCCACGCTGCTCGAAAACGAGACGTTGGCGGCTACGACGCGCCTCGTGCTGCGCCACAAGAAGCACTTGCACGGACCAACGAGCGTCGCAGCCCGGCCTCGCGCACCCACAAAGAACCTCGACGAGCGACTATGGTACATCTTTACGTTCTACTGTGTTCACGGCGACGCGCTCGATGTGCTCGGCATGACAGCGTACCAGTTCCACCGCTTTTTGCGCGACTGCCGGCTCTTCTCGTCGGCCTTTACGCCAGCCATGGGCGACGTCATCTATGCGTTTGAAGCCAAAGGCAAACTCGCCAAGCCGCTCGCCGCCTCCCGGCGCGCAACCGCCAAGCTGGACTACGACGGCTTCCTCAACGCGCTGGCGACGATCGCTGCTCGGCGCTACGCCTCGGACGCGCTCGCGACTTTGCTCTCGACGCACGTGTTGCCGCGGGCCTCCTCGTGGCCGCTGCCCACGTGGCACTTCCACACGTCGCTCCTGCAGCAAGACGACGTGGCGCGCTTTGTGGGCAAGTTTGAATCCATGCTGCGCGATATTTTCGTATTTTACACCAACCAGCCTCTTTCCGACACCGAAGCCGAGAGCACGATGGCGTTCAGCGACTATAGTCGATTTGTCAACGACTTTCACATCACGGAGCTTTTGCTCTCGACGCACGAGTGTCCCGAGCTCTTTCTTGCGTCATGTCAGTGCACGGGCCGGCGGGACACGATGCATTTTGATGCGTTCCTTGACGTCCTCGGGCGCGCCGGCCTCGTGGGGCTGACGCGCTATCGTCATCTGCAGCCACTTCAGTGCGTCAAGGCAGTGTTCCACCATATGACACGCGGTCTCAAGAGCTCGCGGGCGCTCGGGATCATCGCCAACCATGGTCCAAGCGCGTTGTACGCGGCCCGCTTTTACGCCGGCTGCGTCGCGTTTAGCCACAAATTCCTCGACGTCTGGCGCATTGAGGGGTCCCCCGACTACATCACGGGAGTGCTTCCGATACTGCAGGACAAGAGCACGCGCGGACGCGATATGCTAACGCAGATGATGGTGCGTGCGGAAGCCGCGCCCGTCGCACCCCTTCCACCCCCCGGGTCGCCCCCCACAGCGGCACGGCCACCTTCGGCACCAAGCACGACAACGATGACCCCGACCAATACAAAGGCCAAAACGCTCGTGGCACCTCGCGATCAACCCCCGGTGATGTCGTCCCGTGAGCGGACGCAAAAACTGAACCCGTCGATCGCTCGGGGTCCTCGACTCTTGCGCCTGTCACTGGACGAGCACCGGTTGACGCTTACGCAAGGCAATGTTTTTCGTAAATTTGGGACGTGGGGTCAACCCCAGAGACGCTACGTGTGGTGTTCGGACGACAGCGACGTGTTGTCGTGGCGCAGCCTCAAGAGCAAGAAGGCCGAGGAGAGCTTTACTCTGTATGCGATCCAAGCCGTGCTTCCGGGCAACACGGAGACGACAAAGTACGCCTTCATGAAGCACCTCTCGGACGGTACAGTTTGTGCTAGTACAAGGATGGGTAGCTGACTGGTGCGTAGAGAAAAACCTCCGGCGGTGCTTCTCTATCATAACCAAGGATCGGCGACTCGACTTGGAAGCCGACTCGGACGCGATCTGCGACCGGTGGATACAGGCGCTCACGAGCTACCTCACAAGCGGACGCGCATGAATGGAGATCCTGTAAAGATGAGTCGAGTATCTTGAACGTTTTGTCCATTGAATGCAAAGTGTTTGTTATTGTGATCAGACGATTTCTACTAGTATAGACAGATTCCACCCTGGATTCCATCGACGATGTTGTCAGCGGCAGCGTTCATGACATGCCAGCGTCACGACGTTTGACTGGCATCGCTCGACACCCCGAATTCGTCAGGTCACCACGCTGCAAGCTCGATCCACTGCAAGCCAAATGCGCCTCCACATCATGGGCTACGTCAGTGCGTCGTGCGATCTACAGGATATGCTCCTTACACATGTAGAGTGTGAGCACCTACGTTTTGTGGTGTAGCTACGCGGCCCGCAGAGCCCTTCTGCGACCGACGAGGGTTCTTGTGACACCCAATGCTCGTCGATAGGCCATAGGGCATCTTGTTGCAGCGCGATGGCGACTTGAGGTAGGTTGCCCTTTCACTGCAACGCAGGTCCGGACGAAGCTCGTGGCGAGCCCTGTGGAGGCACCGATCGCTGTATTGTTCCTAGACTAGCACATCGTCGACCTCGTCCACGCCGTACCTTGTTTCACCGTCGCTTCATGCATCGCTTTCCCTTCTCTGGTTCAAGATATGGGAGGTGCAGCTGGCATCCCCTTCGAAGGCTCCAAAACTACTTACAACCGACTTACTGACTTACAACAGGTGCGCGGTCGTGGTCTGTGGACGCTTCTGTCGTCGTTCTTGACCCGGACACTCGCCAACTGACGCTACATGCAGCACGGGTCTGTCTATGCGACGATTGTGCGCGAAGGCTTGGTTGCGTGGACTAAAATTTTGCTCCAAAGTTACACAGCAGTGTCTTTTCAAATCTTTTCAAGCGTCTCTGCCCCTGCTCTGCCGTCTTTTTGCGGTAATTTTCACTGGCAACTGGCAACGACAGGTGCGAACTGTGCCAACATACATGCAGCACGTGGGTCAGCCATGACAATGAGAATTCGACGCCGCCAAAAGCCTATTTGACAACGCTCTCAAACGATCTCTAGGACGGCACTGAAGCTCACTGCTACCATGGTAGTACTCGCACTCACTGACCACGACAGGTTGCGCGATCAAGGCGCCGTGGTTCATTGTCCAGACAGATCTGATGCATCACGACGCCACATGTTTGGCCGTATGACAAAAGGTACGGGGCAACAACATACCGTACATCGTACATTCTATCCCGCATAAATCTCAATAGCATTTTACGGTCGGGCCACCGTACAACGCCGTACTGTACGTACCCACGAGCCATTGTCGAGTGTCCACATTGATGTCCGTACCATCTGTCTCAACGGGATCTTTCAAATATTACCAGCTACCGCCACATCGATGTCACAGTATCCAGCCTGTTCAACCGGTAAAGAGATGGTAAATAGATACTGCGTTCATGCCTGCTAGACAGGTGTGCAAGCTTTTTTATTGCGGGTGTGTCAAGCTCGCATTCGATTAATTTCTCTCCGCTCGCCAGCTGTCGGATCCAATGCCAGCAGTTGGCGTGTATCAGTAAATATCCCACAACATACATAGGTCAAGGTATACAGTCGAACTTGTCTAACTGCATATCCCGAAACTCAATAATCCTCTTGTGCGTGATATATCAGCCATTTATTTTTTCAGACTTCATAAATATTTAAATAAAAGGCGATTCAATGGCATTCTCCCAAGGGAGGTGAGGAAGATGAGGCCCAAGGCGAGGAAGATGACGCCGAGGTCAGTCACAGGCTTTGACGAAGGTCGAAGTTCCCAAGGAGATACCGGTAGAGCTGCGCGCTCGGCCGGAGGGCAAGCGATCGAGAAATATTTCGAAAAAAAAACGAATGTCTACGAAAGGTTCGTGATCCTCGACTTCTACTACGCGAACGACAGCAAACAAAGGCGCACAGCTTAATTCTACCACGCCCACGGGTTTCCGACCTTGAGCCAATGCACCGTTTCGCGGTCTTACTCATGCTACGCGACAAGGCTAAGTGGCGCAGCAAGGCGCTGCATGCACTCGACATCATGCCACTACGTGATTAAAAATGTACGCTTCACTTTTATATTTTGAGCCTCTCACAATTGATATTTCTCTCAAATCTATCAAAAATACGCTATGCAGTTAGACAAGTTCGACTCTATCTCTTTACCGGTTGAACAGGCTGGATACTGTGACATCGATGTGAGGTACGCATACCAGTATCCGACCACCTGTTTAACAGATGGGGATAGTGTGACTTCGGCCTGGCGGCCGCTATCAAAAATCGCAGCTCTCTGTCCGGGATTGGCCACTTCTATCATGACCCGCTCCACCACCCTCTTGCTCGCGCTCACGGTCCTCCTCTGCGTCGGCACGCTCATGCTGCACGTGCACCTCAGTGGGCTCGGCGCAGTGCCCTTTCACCCGCAACACCACTCGAACACGACCACTTTGCCCTCCACGACTCTGCCGTCGGCTCGCCACGCCTACATGCTCTACGCCACCAACGACATCACCGCTTGCAATGCGCTCATCATGGCCAAGAACATTCGCCGGCTCGGGACGCCGGCCCACATTGACATTGTCGTGCTCGCGACGACCACGATCGCAAGCAGTACGCACGCTGCGCTGGCCGCCGGCGGACTAGTCGTCGTGCCCGTCGAGCCGTGGATGCAGCCGAACGCGCCCCACGACACGTGGTCGGCGTCGCTCACGAAACTGCGGATCTTTCAAGAGCGCGGCTATGACCGCGTGATTTACATCGACTCGGACTCGTGGCTTGAGCGCAATCTGGACCACTTGTTTACGCTGCGCGAAGCCGTGTTTTGGGCGCCGCGCGCGTACTACCAGTCCAACCAGCCATTTGTGGGCTCGACCTTGCTTGTCTTGACGCCGTCGAATGCGCTCTTTGCGCAGCTCGAGGTCGGGATCGCGGCGCACCCGAGTGACGAGTGGTACGACATGGACGTGCTCAATATTGTCTGGAAGGACTTGTACGGTATGCTCCCGAGCCACTACGTCATTTTGAATGCGCACATCAACTCGAACGACACGTTTGGTTTTGCGAGCGCCGACGAGCGACGCGCGATGACGTACGTGCATCACTTTTCTGAAATGACCAATGGCCGGTATGGCAAGCCGTGGACGCGCGGCCGTGTCCGCGACGAGGTCAACCCCGCGTGGCATCCGCATTTCTACGAGCTCTTCGACTTGTACTGGGCTGCCCACGACGAGTATTGTACATGGATGCGATAGTTGAATAAGGACATCAATAGATAGACTGCTAGACGTGCTCAATGTGGTGCAGTTTGCTCCATATCGCCTACAGCAAACCTTCGTAGTCGTGGAGTGTGGTTGCCTACATCGAACGCGATCGGTCGCGAGCGCTGATACATTGATACATTCACGCAGTTTCAAGCCGACTTTGCACTTTCCAGCGTGGGCATGTCGATTCTAGTTGCACTGCTCGAGCAGGTATCCGCTTCAGCGACCAATCGCCGCTCAGCTATCAGCTGCAGCCATCCTTCGTAGTGCACTGTTGGAGCCGGCCCTACGTCTCGTTCGACCTCCAGCTCAGCCGATGCCGTGTCGCTGCATCTTCGTCTTGAGATGATGATTACAAAATACTCGCAAACCCTACTAACTACCCAAGCCGACTGCACGACGCAGCTGCTTTGGCGACCCGTCCTCCAACTGCACGTCCCTTTGTGCTAGCTGAAAGACCTCTAACGCGAGTCCTCAAGACCAAGTGTCAAGCGTATCCCTAGGATGACGTTGCGACACGAGCAAGGCGAACGAGCCGCGGGATGGCTTCCGACAACGGCCTCTCGGTTGGCTGCACGGTATCATTCCTACCAAGCTCTCTCACACAACCTGTCGATTCGTAGGTCGACTCGAAAATAGGTGTTTCGTACACGAAACTAGTTATTTGATTTGCAAAAGAGACAATTATGGTGTTTACCCAAGGAGCGAGTCGGTCGCGATCGAGCCGTCAATCTCGACAAAGTCGTTGTAAAAAGCCGAGAACAACTCGATCGCGAGCTCGAGGTCGACCGTGCCGCACTGCTCGCGGATGCTGTGCATGCTAAACTGCGCAAGCCCCATGTCGACCGTGCGGATGCCCGTCGACGTCGCCAGGATCGGGCCGATCGTCGAGCCACAGCCGCAGTCCTGGCGCGACACAAAGTCCTGGATGTCGAGGCCGTGGCGACGCCCAAGCTCCTTGATGAGGAGCGCAGTTTCGCCCGACGTGGCGTAGCGCTCGTTGGCGTTGTACTTGATGACCGGGCCCGAGTGCATCTGGATGCGCGAGTTGACTTCGTGCTTCTCCGAGTAGTTGGGGTGCACGCCGTGGGCCATGTCGGCCGAGATGAGCATCGACTTGCGCGCCACTTCGCCCGTGAGCGAGCCGCCCGAGACGCGCGTGATGATGCTCTGGAGAAAGTTGGAGCCCGCGCCCATGAGCGAGTTGGAGCCCACTTCTTCATTGTCAAACGACGCCGCGACGCGGACGTTGGACTCGGTCTCGAGCGTCGGGAGCGACTTGAGCAGCGACTGCGTCGCAAGCCACGTGCAGCAGAGGTTGTCGAGACGCGGCGCAAACACATACTCTTCCAGGAGGCCGCCGATCGCACCGCCCTGCGTGTCAAAGAGCGAGAGCTCGAAATCAAAGATCTGGTCAACGGTCACGTCGAGCTCCTTGGCGAGCAAGTCGAGGAGGATCGGGTGGTGCTTGGCGCCCGCATCCGCGTCCGTCTTGGGGCGCGTGAGCTCGGCCATGACCGACGTCGCGAGGACCGGGCGGAGGTGGTTTTCGTTGTTGAACGAGAACGCCTTGCGGGTCTCGGCGTCCTGGAGGTGGATTGCGAGCATCGGGATGCGCATGATCGGGCGGTTGATGAGCACGAGGCGGCCGGCGATCTGCGACGTCTCGGCGTCCTTGACAAAGACGCGGCCGGCGACGCCAAGGTCGCGGTCAAACCACGTGTTCCAGAGGCCACCGCCGTACGTCTCGACGCCGACCTGGAGGCTGCCCTGCGACTCGACCTTGGACACGGGCTTGATCTTCAAGCACGGGCTGTCGCTGTGCGCGCCGACGATGTGGAAGCCGTTGCCCTTGGCGTAGTTACCGCCGACCGCGAACGCAACGACGGCCGACTGGTTGCGCGTGACGTAGTACTTGCCGTTGGGCTGGATCGCGTCGTCCCAGTTTTCGTCTTCGCGGAGCTGCGAGAAGCCGTGGGCCTTGAGCGACTGGACAGTCTCGTAGACCGCGTGGAAGGCCGACGGCGCCTTGTCGATAAAGTTGATGAGCGCTAGCGACAAGAGAATCATGAAAAAGACGGTGGCTAGGCGGGTTCGAACCTTGGCCCGTCTGCTTGGCCGTGGCCGAGAGCTTGGCATTCGGGACGAGGGACATGGTGCGAGCGAAGGGCGTCAAATTGGGTTTTGACGCCAACGGCAACCTCGGAAGCAAAAACCTTTTTTCTTTTTCGATCTTTGTTTCTTTTATTTCCAAGCTCCTACAAACACCAAGTGAAAATCCTGCCATCGAGATTAAAAGACAATAAAAGAAACCCAAGGATGCGCTTCGCGTTGACCTTTCTAGCGACGCCATTTGATTGGCTCGTGCCCTAGACAGGCGTCTCGTATCTGAGAACAGCTCCCCACCAGAAGGCGCCGCAGGGTTTCCTTGGACGCCGTCGTTGCATGCTCCACGTCCGCCTCACGGGTCCATCCAAAATGGCGGTGCTGACCTCGCTTTTGGGCAAATAAGAACACGGGTTTCAGGCGCAACACCAGAGTCCGCGACCTTGTGCGCCCTGGCTCGTTGGGATCCTTGCACCTCGTTGGAACTCGAAACAAAACAACGCATGCCTTTGGCGGCGAGGAGGCGGCGATGCGACGACGAGAGCAAAGAAGCTGCAACGCACCAGGCAGTTTGGGTTCCTATCAGAATGAAAACGAGCCCAATAAGCCCAATACTGAGCCCAATACTGAGCCCAGGTACGGAGCCCAAGACTGAGCCAATACGGGCATGAGGACGCGATTCCGAGGATGCGCTGCGTCAGCCTGGATCGTCGAAGTGGACAGTGTACCCATATCGCTTTCGAATCCTAGTAGCCAATGAACCACACCAATGGTTCCACATTTGCAGTCGACGCGATGCTAGTAGGAACTCTCCACGGGCGAGAGGAGCCAGCACAACGCGATCTCGCACTCCAAGTATACATCAAGTGTTCATAAACTTGTATGGTCCCTTGCATAGATCCAGTATTAACGGCAGCCCGTTCGTTGACGATGGTGGAGGGCGGAGCAAGAATGTGTGGTCGTGCTGTTAGCATAAGACTCGTCGTCTTTGTAGTAGAGTGGCAAAGCATTCACTCAACAAAAGAAGGTGGGCTTCTTTGGCCGCCATGACGCTCGACGACAGCGAAATATGGAGCTCAAGACGACGGCGGTTGTATGGTGACGGACACGTCGCCGCTGCTGTCGTCGGGATGGTTGAACACTGCAGAACCTAGTTGCTCATATGATAAATCCACACGGCCGCTCGTGGCCTTGCGGCACCATCAGATCGAGATCGCACCGACCTCTTCTTGGCGCTCGTGCATCTTGTCTGCTCTGTCTATCTTGTGTGTCGTCTCTGATTGGCTGAATATTTAGAATATACGAATATGTACCAATCGAAATCCGACAAGCGTGTGGCAGCGCAGTCCATTGGTCGACCAACACCGTGGCTTGTGCCCAAGTCAAAACGTGGCGGCGTGCTGGGCCAGGACGTGTATCGGACGCGCCGACGCCTTGTCCAAAATGAGGCGCACTGGCTATTCGTCTGGCGACTTGACTTGGGTCTCAGTTGGAGTCTCCAATTGCAGCATGATACAGACGGCATCAACATTGAGTGCACGCGTTGAGCCACAGAGGATTCTTCCCCTACGATCGCCACACTGGGCGACACCGGAACCTGCCAGCGAGAGCCAAGTTGCGCCTCCAGGCGTAATATCCGATCCTTCGATGCGAGTCGACTGTGCTCGTCGCGAATACGCTATCGCAGGATGCCCGTGATGCCGAGAGTGATTCCGACGTCACTGCGGGCACCGCGTCGGAGCAAACAGGTTTCTTTCGCGACGTGCGTCAAGCGTGCGTATTCAGCTGCTCTCGCGTCCAAAGAACTGGCCAAGACGGCGCGTCATGGGCGTGTCAGTCCTGCACTTTATCGACCGTGCATTCGATTGCGTTCGTAGAGTCTGCGCGGCATCATGCCCAACGCCATTAGGCTGCATACATGGGTGCACGCAGCTAGGAGCGCCTTGTCTGCATGAGCCCTGTCCCATGCCGCGTCCGATCTTTGTGGCGATGAAGCACTTGCTATGGCACCGAGACGCGTCGGCCCGAAGCCTGCAGCAGTAGTCATCATCCGTAGTACAATGCGCTCCTTCAAAGAACGTCGAGATCCATCAGCAACACGACACCCACAAAAACCCACTGTCGAATCTGGCACTGCAACAATGCAAGGCCTGTCCCGCGAATTTCAAGCAATACAAAGCGCTTGGAATACCTTCCTGTCCGCGTCGGCGCCAACAGCAAGGTGGCGCTTAGACACGCGTCGTGGTGCAGTGCACGTCGTGCTCCCGACACCGCACCGTCCCTCGTGGTTGGTGGTGTGCAGGATCTCGAGACTGCATAGATGCTCGCTTTGTATCTACAGCGCTCGGTCCCAAACCGACGGTAATCACACAAAAGCCAGATTCGTGCTTGTCACGCGATCTGGCTTGGAAGAGTGGGCATCGGCCAAAGCGTTGAAGCTGGTCCGTCGGTCAAGTGCAAACTCAAAGAGCAATCTCGGCCTTCGAAACCCCGGGCACTCGTACAGTGCACTTGCGTCTGGTAGAATTTACGGCACGTAGCTGATATCGGCATGGACCTGGAGACGCACAAGGGCATGTAAGCGCGGCCACGTGGCCGCGCGCAGTGGGACAGGCGCGCCGTGCCGCCCATGTACCAACGCTCTTTCGTCTCAGACGCGCTAAGTTTGTGGACTGCATATTTTGTCCGAGACATCACGACTGTGATATGGCGGGCAGCTGGCATGACGAGGTCAGATAATTGCCGACGTCTTCTCGCTCGACGCTGCGTACGACCGTATTCTCCACGGTGAACCAGAAACATACACGTCGTCCATCAGCTCGTCGTTGCCGCACTATCGACGTGATGAGGCGTCCCGACCCGCACGCGCCTGCTCCCAGTGCTGTGCTTTCCGGCAATCCACTGATGGCGCGTGAAATGCATATTGGCGCCAGATTTTACACACCGAGTTGGATGAAGTTGAAGCGGTTGTCGGCATAATATAATAATTGCTAAGACAAATTGTATGTGGAGAAAACGGGCGCTATAATAATGGCGGGTGGCACCCGTTGCACCGGTGCCATTCGCCGTGACCAGCTGGCGTACCCGACCGTGGGCGTTGGATCACGCGAAGAGCAACTCTCTTTTTTGCGTCGATCGACTCATGCCGACGACCGAGTCGCCGGCCCCGCTCGCCGAGAAGCGCGGCACGTTCGAGTTCAAGTACAAGTCCGGGCCGTTCTCGTCCTGGGCGCTCGTCTATGCCAAGCTCGAGGTTGTACCTTCCCCTTTCTTGCGTCGCAGATCTTATTGCGCATCTTATAGGGCCGATGGCTGGCCTTGTACAAGAAGGAAGACACCAACGTGCGGTCCGCCGCCATTGAGATTGGCGCCGGCGTCGCCTTCAAAAACCTCGCCGACCTCGAGAACTTTCCGCGGCGCTTTGACCTCGTGTGCTCGGGCGGCATTCTGCCGACGCTCGAGTGGTCGTTCCGCTTCTCGTCCAAGCGCGAGCGCGATGGCTGGGTCAACGCGCTCTCGCACAACATTACGACGCTCTCGAGCTTCGAGTCGGAGGTGTTCGCGCGTTTTCACGAATTCGAAGAGGCGCGGGACGCTCTGGAGGCGCACGTGCCGCAGCTCAAGCGGCCGCTGTCGGCCAAGGTGAGCAAGGCCAAGCCGATGTTGCACGCGCTCTCGTTCAGCGGCGAAGATGCGATGAAGACGCTCGTCGAGCTCGAGTACGCGTCGACGTTGATCGAAGGCCACCGGATTCTCGAGCGTCTCCTCGCGATGAATTTGATCCACCACATTTTGTGGAGTCATGACTTTAGCCAGCACGAGCTCTACTGCTTTACGCACAACCAAAAGACGCACGTCGTCATCGACGCGTACAACTCGCTCTTGGAAACCAACAAATTTTGGATCAATTTTGCCGGCGGCCACGACCGGTCGGCGTCGTCGGCCACGTTTGCGTCGGGCAACACGCGCGCGCAGAGCATCCGGTCGACGCACTCGGGCGACGAAGCGCGCGCGACGATGCACTCGATGGTCTCCGGGCACTCGGACGAACAGTCGTCGGTCGGCTCGTCGGTCGCGTCTTCGTTCACAACGCGCGAAATCACGCTCCTGCCGCAGACCGAGTGGACCAACCCGGATCCGATCAAGAAATGCGAGCGCTGCGAGAGAGGCTTCTCGGCGCTCCGGCGCAAGCACCACTGCCGTGTCTGCGGTGGCGTCGTCTGCGGCACGTGCGGCGCGTACACCAACCTCCTCATCGGCGGCGGCATGGTCAACGTCCGCGTCTGCGGCGCCTGCCGCGACTCGCCGCGGCGCACCGACTCCAAGACTGCATCGTTCACGTCGGTGGCCTCGTCGTGGATCCCGACGGCGTCGTCGTCGTCGTCGCTCTCGTCGTGCATGGACTGCGACGACCTCTGCGCACCGACGACGATCACGACGTACCCGCTCGACTTTCACTGGAGCCATCCGTGGCCCAAAGCCCCACTCTGCGCGCACGAAGACCTGCGCCTGACTGCGCTGGCGGCCACGGGTGTCATTACCGCGCCCACCGAAGCGCTCTTTGACCACCTTTGCTCGATGGCGGCCACAGCCTCCAAGTGCGCGGTGGCCGTCCTAGGGTTTGTCGACGCCGATGCGCTGCACATTGTCAACGAACACGGCTTGCCGTCGACGCTACCTCGGGTGGTGCCCCGCGATGTCGCGTTCGCAGCTCATGCCATCATGTCGCCGAACCCGCTCATCTGCCGTGATGTGGCCACGGACCTCCGCTTCTGCCGCAACCACACGATGCGGGACGAGTGGGGCATCGGCTTTTACGCGTCGTGCCCACTTGTCCTTGGCTCGGGCGACATTATCGGCGTCCTGGAAGTCTACGACGGCGAAGCGCGCGGCCGGTGCGCCTGCGTCGGCGACCGCCTTGACCGCATCGCCAAGCTCATTGTCAAGCGGCTCGAAGAGATGGCGTTGACGCCAACCCCCGAAGCAGTGGCGCCGGCCGCGCCCGCGCCATCGACGATGGAGACGAAGCTCATGGAACTGCTGCAGCAGACTACCGGCACGCAGCAGCAGCTGCAACAACAGCAGGGCCAAATGGTCAACACACTCGGGAGCCACTCCAAGCAGATCGACAAGCTCACCGAGCAGCTGCGACGGATCGAGGCGTCGCTCGATGCCAAGGCGGCGCGGGAGGCCGCCACCGACGACACCAAGTCGTCCTAAACTGTAGCCGATAAACAACACCGACTGTACGTTATTAGTAATTATTACCCCGTCGTCGTCTCTCTTATTGGTACGATGCAACGCTGCAATGTCAACGGTGTTCGAATTTCGTGATCGGTTTCGAAAAATGACGTGGCAGCCGTGTTTGCGTTCTTGACAGAAAGACGGATAAATAACGATTTTAACGTTAAGAAAAACGGCAAGATTGCCGGTAGGATACAGAGCAGGTCGTGTGGAGTCTACGATGCTCGAAGGGTATCTCCACGCGCTCCTCAAGAGCATCCTCGGGACGTACGTCGACCTCAACGAGGAGTCAGAGGCGCTTCGCGTCAGCGTCTGGGAAGGCCAGGTCGAGCTGCGCGAGCTGCGCCTCAAGGTCGACGCGTTCGAGCCGCTGCTCCAAGGCCTTCCGTTCTCGGTCGCGTTTGGCTGCATTGGCTACTTTAAGCTCCAAGTTCCGCTCATCAACCTCGGTGGCCAGCCGATCCAGGTGCATGTGCAGGACGTGTACCTGCTTCTGCGGCCGCGCGTGGCGAGCGCGCCGCATTCGACCGCGTCGGCGATGGCGTCAGCGACGACGCAAGCCGCCGCCAAGGCGTACATGCTGCAAGCCAAGCGCACGACGCTCCAGGCGCTTGAGCTCGAGCAGGAAAATGAAGCGAAGGACACCTCGGCCTCGTCGTCGCCGGCGCAGTCGACGTTCATGTCCCGTCTCGTCACCAAGCTCCTCGACAACATCCAAGTTCAGATCGAACGCATTCACATTCGTCTCGAGGACGCTGTCTCGGACCCGCGCGCGAGCTACGTCCTCGGACTCACGCTGAACGAGCTCGCCGTCAAGTCGGTCGACGCGTCCGGCGCCTACACGCTGCAGGTCCGCGATGTCGACACAGCCACATGCCTGCGCAAGGTGCTCCACGTCAAGAAGCTCGCCGTCTATGTGGCCAACGACTACGAAGCGGTACACTCTGCATCGTCAGCTACTCCTACCTCACCACTAACCCTAGATAACGCACGACGACCAAGTGAGTCGGTTCGTCGCACAGATGCAGAACCGGTTTTGGGATGACCATGGCGGAGGCGGCTACTTGATCGAGCCCATGACGATGCGCATGTCGCTGCTCATGAACGACCGCGGTGTCAACGTGCCGCTGCCGCCCAAGGCCTTTTCGCAGCGCGTGCGCCAGCGTCTTGGCATCGCCTGGCTTGTCATGACGCGCGATGCGATCGGCGACGACGCATGGAGCGCGTTTGTATCGAGCATGCCGCCACGCACGTACACGCTGACGTTTGTCTTTTGCGAGGCGTGGGCACTGGCCCAAGACGCGCTCGACCTCGACGACATCCCGACGCTCGAGATGCTCACGGCGTCGCTCCGTAGCTGCCTGCAATGGCCGCACGTCGATGCGTTGCGCGAGAGCCTGCGCGCGTTTCACGCGGCAGCTGTCCGCGTCGTGCAGGAAAATAACACGTTTTTGACGGTCGAGGTCGCAATTGATCGGGTCGCGTGGCGCCTGCACCAGACGCAGTACCACAGCCTCCTCGCTCTCCTCTCGGCGGTCGCTCTGCAGCGGCGACAGCAGCCATACAAGGACTTGCGCCCTAGCGTGTCTGTCTCGGCGCACCCCGCGGCCTGGTGGCGGTTTGCGATCGAAGCCGTGCGCCGCGACAACAAGGCACGGCTCGCCACCGTCGACTGGAGTCATGTCCACGCCAAGAACGGCCAGAAAGCGCGCTACAAGGAGCTGTACCTGCTGCTCAATGTACACAATGTCCCATAGGGCGTGTCTCTACTCCTCTTGCTTGTAGGACGGGTCGACCGGGTCCAGCACCGCAGGCAACATTCATTGGGGCGAAGTCATGCGCGAGTTTGACGACCTCGAGTACGCCATGGAGAATGCAGACATCTTGGGGTGTCGCGCCGACGCCAAGAAGACGATTGCGGCGGCGACGAAGGCGCCGACACCGCCACCCTCGGCCAATGGAACGGGTGACGCGCCTGTCTCGATGTGGAGTTATGGCTATTGGTTTGGGACGACGACGGCGCCCAACCCGACACCGACGTCGCCGACCGCCAGCGTCCAGAGCGAGACGCAGTACCTCTACCATGCCATCAACTTTGACCCGACCACCGATGCGTCCATGACGGCGGCGGCCATGGCGTCCACCGTTCAGTATCGCGTCAACGTCGAGTTGTCCGAGTGCAGCTTCCAACTCGGCGCGCTCCTCGACCTTCACGTGTCGGGCATGGCCCTCCAGCTGCTCCAGCGCGCCAAGTCGACCGACGTGTCGCTCGAGCTGCTTACGTTTGTCTTGACCGAGGTCTCGGACGATGCTTCGGGTCGGTGCTGCATTGCGCGGGTGCCCATGGAGACCGTGGTGACGCTGCCGGAAGCCGACGCCATGAGCAGCGTCAAGCTCCGTCACTGCGAAGCGCCTCTGCCGCTGCTGAGCGCCAAGGTCGAGCTACCCCCGCTCGACGACGCCGACGTCCGTCTCACGCTCGTGACACAGCCCGTCGATGCGCGTCTCAACGTGCCCTTTGTGTTGGCGACGGCGGCGTTCTTTCAGCCGCCCGCCACCGTGGATCTGCATGAGCTCGATGATGCGGCGTGGGCCAATGCCAAGTCGTTTACGCAGTATAGCGGCGCGCAGCTGCGGCAAGCGATAGCCGCGCGCACCAAGCTCTCGCTGCAGGTGGACGTGACGTCGCCGATCATTACGATCGTCGAGACACGCAGTGATGTTGTGCTCGAGAGTCCGGTGCGGCTGACGCTGTACTTTGGCCACCTCCAGGCCCGTAGCCACGTGCAAGCGTCGCTGCCGAGCGCCGACCACGAACGGTCCTTGGAGGAGTTTGTCGCCCGCCTCCCGGACGAGCAGCTCCACGATGTGATTGAGGTGAGCGTCCGAGGCGCCGACGTCCGACTGGAATCGGACAAGCCGCTCCTCGAGCAGGCCAGCATCTTTTGCACGCTCAAGACCAGCGTCGTGCCCGACGACCTCACGATCCCGCTCATCAAGCTCCACGGCCACGTCGACCAAGTGCGCATGCACTTGTCGTCCATCAGCTACGCGCGCTTGCAGCAACTGGCAGCCTCGGTGCAGCGCAATCTCGCCCACGTCGCGTTGCCGGCCCCCGATATGGCGCCGGTGGCCGCCGCCGCGGTCTCTGCGGTCGCGTCAACCCGACCGAGCGCGCTGCCGCAAGCCGTGTCGATCACCGACTTTACAAAGCTCATGCAGCGCATCGTGGTCGACGGCGTCTTTACAGTCGATGTGGTCGACGTCCGGCTGTACGCCGACGCGCCGCTCGTGCGGTTGCACCTCGGCAGCATGACGTCGCATGTCGTCCTCCGGTCGTTTGATCGCCGGCTCGAGTTTGGTCTCGGGTCCCTCCGCGTCGAGGACTATGCGCGGCCGTTGGCGCCGACCATGGTGTCGTCGTCGGCCGATGCGCAGTCGTTGATCCGTGTCGCCTTGACAATGGCGTCGCTCGACCGCCCACTGCCACCCGAAGCGGTCTCGTCCGATGTCTGGGCCGCGGTTGCGTATCCGCAGGCGTGGGGCGCTGCTCCGATTGCACTGCTGCAGCCAGCTCTCCAGTACCCCGTCTCGGTCGACGTGGCGCTCGACGGCGTCCAGGTGCACGTGCACCGGGACACTCTCTCGCGTCTGTTCCTCTTTTTCGCCGGCGACAAGCGTGACGATGCGTGTCCTGTCAGTCCTGTCGCCGACGTCGTGGGGCCCGAGAGGATGGCGTCGTTGCCACCGACGCCAGTGGTTCTCGAGCGCCAAGTGTCGGCGTGGGCCAATTCGCTGCCACCGTCGCAAAGTAGCTATGTGGTGCGATCGGGGAACGACGGCGACGACGACGACGACGATTCGGCGTCGTACCGAACTGCATGTGCACAGACGACCGTGGCGTCGCCGACGTACCTCGAGACGCTCCGCGAACTCGTCGAGCCGGCCGTCCGCGACAACACGCCGTGGTTGCAAGTGCAGCTCCAGTTCAAGTCGTTCCAGCTTGTCTTGCCAACAGAAGACGAAGACGGGACGATCGTCGCCGACGTGGCCGTCGAAGGGCTCTACGTCTTCTTGACCAAGTCACCGACGACACTCGCTCTCGCGGCTTCGCTGCAAACCGCCCGTATCGTCGACGGCGGGGGCCGCGAGATGGTCGGGGCCGACGTCGCACAGTCGGGTGCATCGCCTATAGCACCAATGCACCACGCGATCCATCGCCAGCGTGCCATGGTGACGCTCGCGTATGACGCGTTCGGCACGGAAGCGTTTGAAGAGGACTGGCACCCCGGGTACGCCTCGGGCATCTCGCTTTGCCTCCGGTCACCGCGCGCCTGCTTCTTGACCCGGTTCCTCGTCGACCTCCAGGCCTATGCGACGACGGGACCTCTCGTCGAGACATTGGCGCAGCTGTCGCCGACGTCACAAGACGCCGGACCGGCCGTCCTCATGGGTGCCGCAAATGAGGAGTTGGACGTATCGGCGGTCTCGACCTTCCCCTCGATTCAGATTGAGCTGCATGACTGCGTGCTCGACATGCCCCGCGACTCGTCGTCGCATGACGCGATCACGCTTCGACTGGACGCACTGCGCGTGTCGAACGGACCGTCTATGACGGACAATGACGGCCACTCGACGATGGACAAGGTGCTGCGCAACGCCCGCTTGACGACGCTTGCGATCGATGCCGCCGGTGTCCGCGTCGTGACGACGCTCCGCAACCGGTCGACGAGTTTGCTCGGCGGCACCCGCTTTGACCTCGTCGTCGACATGGCCCACGGCACGTCGGTGACGATCTGCGCGTCACCAATTCGGTTTGTATGTTCGCAAGAGCAATACGCGTTTCTCTTGTCGGCGCCAACGTCCAACTTGAACGAGGTGCCCGAGCGACAGCGCGCACCAACGTCATCATCGCCTCAGCACGCCACAGCCGCACCCCCGGCAGCGTCCCTCACGCTCGTCGTCTCAATACCCGAGCTCTCGATGGAGCTGTGCAACGGCGACAGTGGCTACCAGCCGACGTCGACGGGCGATCTGTCGATGGCCACTCTAGCGTCCGACGACGTGGCGTCCATGGCCCGTCTGCACCTGCGGGCGATCGAAGCATCCGTGGTCGCTGGCGACAGCGCTCTGAAGGCGAGTTTGCGTGTGTGCGAGGTCGTCGTCAGCGACTCGCGCCGGCACGATGCCGTCGCGACGCCGTATCGGTCGCTCATTGCGCTGCGGCACTCGGAGGACGAGGGAGACGCGTTTGCCATCACAGTCGCCCGCGGCAACGACCCAATACCACCTCTCTTGGGTCCGGTGGCGACACCCGACGACGATGCGGCGTGGCGCGTCGACGTGGATCTTCACGGTCTTTCCTTCTACCCGTCGCCTCTCTTGCAAGAGCTGAGTCAATTTTTTGTGCCATTTGCGCCTAGTCCGAGTCCGCGTGCGGCCGACGGGACCGAGACGCCAGTGCTCACCGACGACGCGCCAGGCAAGTCGCAGGCGATCTGGCCGTACCCGCCGATGCGACTGCGCCTCACGTGCTCGGCCGCGTCGGTCGTTTTGGTCGAGAACCTCGCACGCGACGACTCGCGGCTGCTTCGTCTGCAGTGGCATGCGTCCGTGACCGTCTCTGGCGACGCGACGTCCGGTGTCCGCGTTGACGTGGTGTTGTCCCAAGTCCAAGCGAGCTCCAAGCTGCTCGAACTCGAAGGCGACGGCATCCTCAAGCCCATTTCGATCCGCGCCGGCGTGACGTATGCGGCCCAGACGCTCGTGGGCCACCTTGGCGTCGACCAAGTCATCGTTTTGCGATGTGGGTACATGGACTATACGACGCTGTTGGCAGCATTAGCTGCCCTTGCGCCGCCGGCCCAACCGCCGGCGTCGGCGTCCAAAACGGTGCCCGACGCAACACCGATGCCGCTGCCGTTGCACGTGCCGTCGCCACCGGCGCCGCGACGGCCGGTGTGCTATGGCGACGCCCGCATAAAGTTTGTCTTGTTCACGCCGCGCGGGTACTTTCAATCGAAAGACGCGCTTGGCTACTACTCGGGCCACTGGCGCAAGTACATGATGATGCCACCACTGCCCGACGGGTACGAGACGTCGTTCGAAGAGATGACGTTTACGCTTCTGCCGGCGCCGAGCAACGACGCCAGAATCGGCGACACGATACGATTTGGCGACGCCGTCGTTCTCCAAGATGCCAACGGCATCTTTGTCGCCAAGTACGATGCCCTTGGCGCGTCCGGGTATCTCGGCCCTGAGGGCGGCGGCGGGCGGTTCGAGTGCCGCCTCTGGCAAGCGGGCACGACCATCTTCAACGCCGACCGCACCGCCGTGCACTACAGCGACAGCGTCGAGCTTGAAGGCATCACGTTGTACGACCCGAACCCGGCGCCGGTGGGCCCGAAAGAGGCGGCGGCGCAGCGCACGCGGGCGACGCACGGCGGCTACCTCATGTTTAACGGTCTGGGTGACGCGCCGGTGGTCTTCGCACT